ATAATATGCACTCCAACTATCACCTCTTATTTACAGTAAAAAAAAATGTATTATTTTCGAGACATTATGGTATTACTGTTCTTGCCGATAAGCTGATTGCAGAAAATAATTCTGTTTTTTTTCTTTTTCCCAGTTATACAATATCCACTATCTTCAACAATAATTCTTTGAAGAACTCTTCATCAGTAAAAGGTTTCATTCTTTCTGCAATTAATTTTGATACCTCGTAGCTAGCATGTGTTATGGTCATTTTTTTAAAAATTTTCTAGTGAAAAATGATGACAGCTTTAAATTATTTTTCAGCTGTGCAACTTCATCTTTTTGAGCTTTTCCAGTAGAACTGTTGCCGAGTTTCATAGTGCCATTTAATATTTGAAACTTTCTTCACAGCAGTGATTTCTTGACAAATTAAGTAAACACATCTTCCGAAGTGCTCAATGTCCAGCCATCAATTTCTAAATTTATTTTTCTTTTCTTAGATTCCATGGGTTTTTTTTTCCAGACAAAAACTTATAGAAAGAAAGAAAAATCTTAAATGAAAAACTCTGGGGGAGGATATGAAGTGACTTTTCCAAAGACCTCTTAACCTTGAAGTGAACTACTGTGTCTGTATTCATTGCTAATTAGATAATTAGTGTCCAGGTGTTAAATTGGTGAGCCGGACAGAAGTTCCTCATGGGCCGATAGGCTGGGGGTTGATGACCCCTGGCTTAGGATGATGTACAGAGATATATAGAATTGGATGCCACAATAAAGGGTTAATATGGCTTTGAAATGGAGACTAAATGACTTGGAAATCAGGACCGATTCAGCCACTGTTCTGAGCTGGATAGGTTCAGTGATTACAGAAAAACAGAAGGTCCAAACAAAGGGTGCTGCAGAAATTATTATCCAGAGATGGTAGGGGATACTGAAAGAGTTAATAACTGAATTTGGATTGAATTTACGTGCAACTTCGGAGAGGAACAAAGCTGATGCTCTGACCCAAATAAAGAAAAACTGTGTGAAAGTCAAAGAGGGTACAACTTTGTTATGTTGCTTAGGGTATGAAGACTTGAAGGAGTTGCACTGCCTGCATCACATGGGGCTTGAGAGAACATTGTATCTGGTTTGTAAGATTGACCCAGATGTCACAAAAGAAGCTGTGCACATAGTGTCAATTGATTGGCCTTTCAACAAGCATACATGAGCCAGGAGAGATTCAGGTGACCACCGAATGGATAAAACTGGCTATAGATGTGACATACTACAGAGGAAAGTTGTACTTGACGATAGTTGACTGTGGTCCTGAATGGATTACAATTTGGAAATAGATCCGATTGGAAACTGCAATCATCATACCAGAAGTGGAAATTGGATTGTAGAAAGAAACCACCAAATGATAAAAGCAGTTGCTGAAAGGAGAGAAACATTGCCCACTGAAGCGATGTTTTGGTACAATATGTCATCTAAGTCTGGACAAAAAGAGGAGACAGTGCCACAAAAGGTTTTTGTGGCACTGTCCACCCAAAGATGTGCCAGTAACCAGACATGAGGAGACACCTACAGCCATGTAAAAAAGAAGTGTGTCATAATGGTTACTACCTGTCTTACCCATGATTATAATGGATGGTGAAAAATGGAAATGTTGGTTGAAAAGTCGCTATATGAGTTAATGAGAAATTAGTTGGTGGGGAGACTTCACCAAGCAATTTGATGGATAGACAAATGAAAGAAGCAAGCACAGTGAAAGAGGAAAAATGAAGGAATGCACGAAGCATGTTAGAAAGGAAGAGAAAAATTTGTTTTGCCCCTTAAAATCACATTTTGCAGATAAAACTGTTTTCATAAAAGTGTAATATTGTCTTGACTAACTTGTATTTTTTTTTTTTTTTTTTTTTTTAAACAAGTAAATGTTTGAAACATAAATAAAAATAATTTCCTTTTAAAATTGCAATGATGTTGCTTAATTTTTTTTTTTCACAGATAGCAGATAAATAGTTGATTGAAAAACAATGAATTGCTTTTTTGTGGATATTTTCACTTATTCACATTTACAACAGACCAACTGGAAAATATTGTAACTTTTCAAATAAGGTTTAAAAATAAGTAATATAAGCTAAAGTAATAATGAAATTCAACATATCACCCAATTTTTTTTCTGTGGATAACTGCTAAATACAAGAAAAAAGATTATCTGAATTTTGTAATGCAACTGAGAGAATTATGGCTAATACATTAAGCATTCAAACAGTTAAAATTGGAAGATTGAAAATAAACTGTTGTATATGGTTTGTTTGGATTAATTTCCTTGTCCCTGTTGCCTCAATGTTTTGGCTGTTTACTCTCTGGATTTTCATGGGCATCTGTTATATTCTGGAATATTGTTGAATCTTGTCTCAGGAGAGCATGCACGCCCTCTTTCATACATTTCATAAGTGTTTTATTTATCTTAATTATATATATATATATATATATATATATATATATATATATATATTTTAGTCTCTCTCTTTGGGATTGTCTCCTCCCAACCCATACAATGTCCTTATAATTATACCAGATTTAAAGTGTTTCCACATGCTACAGCTTTTCAGTGATATTTTTTTTTTTTTTTTTTTTTTAAATAGAGGTGATTGGTCTCTCTCTTGTACTTTGCCATAGCTGCATGGAATATTATACAGACAGATTTGGGCCATTTTGCTTTTTCATCTCAAGTTTTACTTTGAAGTATCTACATTTTGTGGAACTATTTTTAAATACTGTCCTGATAGTGTAGGAAGAAGAGGGATACACTGACTTTTATGGAATGAGATCAAACTTATAGACAAGGAAAAGCATGGGGAATTAAGGCTGAAAAAGGTGCCTACCTACTATGCTCTGTCAGCACATCAAATATTGACATCAGTAGCTTGTAGGAACTATTAATCATGAGGTAACAATTGAAAAAAATTGAATACATAGGTATTACTTAAGAGATAGAGGCAAATGTAAAGTTTAACAGGAAGTTACATAACCAGTACAGGGATTGAAAGACAATGTCAAGAACACAGACATAAAAGCCAAATTTAATATCAGAGGGGATAGGCATCCTACTCTGGAACAAGATTCAACAATATTCCAGAACACGTCCAAGGATGGCTGAAATATTGTGAAAACCAAACAGTCTGAACCAACCACATATAATTCTTTGAACGAGAGAAGCCAAAAGTGTTTGTAATATATACATAAAGATACACTGCAATTCACTAAAAGATATATTTGTGGCTTATAATAAAAAGGATACAAGAATTTGACTTCCAAAATAAGGTGGCTTAGAATCTAGATTATAATAAAAATTGTCATTTGAGCATATTTGTTAAAACAATTTGAATTGACTATTCTGTTAATTTTTTTGTGAAGTCAGCATATAAGTTTGTTCTGTGTTGTTAGAAAACATTATTTAGCTTTAACTGCATTCAGGAAGATTGCTTTCATTTGTATTTTGACAGCTTTTATATATTTTTAATCTTTTATTAAATATCATAGATTGTATTTGTGTCTTCATTTTGGTGCTTAAAAACTCTTTTATACAAATTGTGATAGACAATGAAAACTGGATACTTTACAATAATGTAAAACCTAAGATATTGTGGGTTAAGGGAAATCAATCTCTACTCATTGTATCAAAGGTGAATTCTTCAAAGTTAATGCTGAGTATATGGCATGATTGGAAAGTAGTCCTCTATTAAAAGAAGACAACAATCAATGAGAACCATTCAGCATTAGTGAAGAGAAAGAGTATAATCTATCAGGTTAATGCTAGACTACATGTTTCTTTTGGTGACCAAGTAAAAAATTATCATTTATATTGGTTTTTAATGCAAAAGATTTGAATTCTTTGGAAGATTGTAAAAGTCAGGAACACTTCTTTGCCGAAGAACAAAAAAAAATAACAGTTTGAAATGAAGAAGTAGCTTGAAAGATGACAAAAGTTAGTGGAACAAAAGAGTAAATAATTTATTCAGTAAATTATTAGTATTGGAAGTGGGTATAATCTTTTATTTAGTAAACTACAAATATTAAGAAATTAATCATTTTCACTGAAGTAAACATGTTTTGGAAGAAAAAAAAAACGATGGGTTATATCAAGAATGGATACATAGTACATTGGTTGAGCTAAAAATTTAATCTTTATAGTTTTAGATCATTTATGAGAGGACAGTTTCTATTTCTAGCCATAGAACTTTTCTTTCAGGCTCTACCTAAAAGCAGCAACAGAATATTTACCTGGCAAGTTGGAATTTTCATTTTGTCAAGAAACTTGGTGTATTTTAGAATTCATTTTGTATACTAAAAAGGATCCAGTTGAAGGGAGTGATATGCTCTTAGCATTTATGATTAGACTTAGATATTGGCCTAGAAGAGATCATAGGTTTGGTAGTAATTGATAATTTCACAAAGTGTTGTTATATTTTTTTTTTTCAGTAAAGATATTGTTTTTAAATAACTAGAGGAACAAAACACACTCCTTTCCTTCATCACTAGAAATGAAATTCCCAATATGAACAATTTTTAATATTGAATTGACCACAAATATGTCCTTTTTAAAATCGAAATTCCTCTGGTACTAGTAAAAAAGGAATTGTGAAATGATTATGCACTTATTTTTTTTGTGTTTTATTCTAAGTAATTGTAAATGGATATATCTTTTATTAAATTTCAAACTGAGGATAAAATAATAGTACCTATTTTTTAATGTAATACCTTTTTGTTTGTCATATTTGCATTTTTCTATTTCCTCAAGATTTAATCAGTTGTATCTATCAACAGTTAATTAAAAATATATAAAATGTATGCAGTGTTTCTTGACTCATTTTATGTTTGAGATAATGCATCAAATGGCATCAAATAAATTCATAAGTAAATATATTTTTAAAAACTTGTATATCTTGTAGATTGTCTGTTTGTAATTTTAGTTATTGGAAATATTACTGAAATTTTTGAATGCTCAAAATGTTCATTTTGTTTTCTATTTGTAGGTCCTATGAACCATTATCCTGAGGACATGCCCAGTCCCTATGGGGCTAGTAGTGGCCGTATGGCTCTTACTTCTGATTATATTGGAAGAGATAATTCTCAAATGGTGAGTTGTATTCAATGTTGTATTGTTAGGATGACTCTTGATTTAAAAATTTTGATGTTGATTGAAATGAAATTTGAATTTTGATTATTACATATTAGGAGTATAATAGTTATTTTGGGTTCACTTTGTGTTTTTCTTCCCGTCTTGAAAGCAATTTGTTATTTCATATTTGTAGAATAGTACATTAATGTTTTTAGTAGGTACCTCCAATAATTCACTAAAAAATCAGTATAGCATAATGATAAAAGGTCCCAAAATTAATAAAAACAAAGTTTTATCATTGAAATGTTTGTTATTATTAAGAGGAAAGAACAAAGTATTTTTTAAATATTTAAAAAAAATTTTTGCCTTCTTTCTAACACGTTCTAAATTTGGGTAAAAAAATCTCATTTTTTTTTTTTTTTTTTTTTTTTTTGTTAACTTTGTACTACTTGTGGTAATGGCCATTTTTTTTAGTGTAGCAGTTTCAGGAGGAAAACCTATTAATGTGGAAATTCTTGCAAAAATCAAATAATTGTCTGATTTTAATGAAACTTTAAGAAACTTATTCAAAAATGAATGAATTTATTTTTGAAATTTTTATTTTTAGAAAATCTTGGTAAAAAAATTTTTTTTTTTTTTTACATCTGTAATTTTATGGGGAAATTAAATCATTTTTTTTTTTTTTTTTTACTTGAACTACATTTTTTCACAACTCAATTTTTTTAAAAAATCTGTTCCACATTGTAAAATAAAAACTGCAATAAACTATCTAATTAAATAAGCTTTTATTAGCTTTTATAGATAATATACATTAAGGACATTATTATCTGAAGAAAAAAAATTTTTTGGTGAATAAAGAATTTTTATAAGAATTGTTTGCATTTTTCTTTTATTTTTAATTTTTTTCCATTTTTCTTTAATTTTAAAAAATGTTTTTAAATTCTTCCAAACAGTGTGGGGTAAGTTATGTTTTTAAGTGAAGACTATATTTACTAAGTGAAAAATAAAAGCTTACTACAAATAATGTTACCAAAACTTTTTACCATAATTAAAAATATTTTTTGTGTGTGTGTGAAAATGTTACATTTTTTTTTTTTTTTTTTTTTTTTGTATGATATCTCATAAATGACATGATTAAAAGGTGATGTATTTCAAGGTGTGTCTCCTCCTTGGGGAAAGCCCCTTGACATATAAAGGTCTTATCTCACTCTGTTATTAAATTAAAAATTAAATTGAGATAATAAAATTATCAATTTAAACAATTAATAACTGAGTGAGATATTTTAATTACTAATAGAATAATAATTTTATTAATTAATATCTCAGTTATTAAATTAAAAATGTAATAACTTAATGTAATATTAATAATTAATAAAATTATTTATCATTATCTTAGTTATTAAATAATGAAAGAGATAGAGGTAACTCAATAATGTAAGAAATTTTTATAGTATTTTAAATTATAAGAAACATAAAAAAAACCATTATGTCAATTTTGATGCACCGTACTAAACCTGTCAACACATTCAGTCATCAAATTATCGATGGAGATGTGAAAATAACAAGACCCTGAGGTCAAGAAATGTTTGTCAAGAAAATTTTATACTATAAGTGATATTTCTTTCAGAAGAGATTAATTTAACTTTAAATTTGCTAATTTTACAAAAGTAACATTTCAGAAATGTATATTTTATTTTAGCGAGATTTTCAAAACCGAAAAATAAGTTAGTTTATATTTCTCTAAAAAAAGTTAAAAATGGCCATTTTGATTGGTTTTTTGGAAGCATCTTCTATTTGAAATACTCCACAGTATTTTTTTCTTCTTCTGGAATTAGAAAATTTAATCCTTTAGCTTTCAATTGAAGCAGAGGGAAAGCTTTGAAAAGGATTATTCCTTTATGAAAAATATATTTAAACCTTAGGTATATGAATTTTTGGGGGTACCTAGTTTTTAATTATTGTATATACTCAAGGATAGGTCACACTTTCTTTTTCACCAAAATTTTGATAAAAATCAAGGGTGCAAACTATTCATTTGACATCATAGAGAATCTGAAGCAGACTGTGGCGAGTACCCTGGGCACAAGCAAGAGCAAGGGAAAAAATTAATTTTTCCCGACATTTTGATTTTATGCAACCGCCTCTTCCAACAGTACTGTGTCACACATCAAATAAAAGCACTTAATCTGCACTGCTCATATTTACCATTTATTATCTGATTTATGATGTACGACTATCATTTTTAAGTGATTACTGGTATCCAAATTTTCGTCTAAACAGATCACCCCCTGCACTTGATAAGTAAAATGAAAATGTTTAACAGTAATGATGAAAAAGAAGTATTTTGGGGTTTCAGTCCTGATGAAGTTTAATAATTCTGTCTAAATGAATAAACGCTTTTCTTATGTTTTAATATATGTAAGCAAAATTTTGAAATAAAGGTGAATATTTGAAAATATTTAACAAATACTAGTTATATTTAGGTTAAAAAAAAAAGGACCATGTAATTCCCCAGATTACATTTTGACCTATCTGCAAGTCAACTGCAAATACTCATTAAGGGTGTGATCTACTTACTGGTGTGACCTATCCGCAAGTATATACAGTATGAATTTTTTTCTCTTTGATCAAACCACATTTAGTGTTTTAAAATTGTACCAGGTTATCCTATAAGTAATTTCTGAATTTCAATTAAAAAAATATAGAAAGTTTGTGTTAGAATTTATTCATTAACATAGATTTTCCTTCCAATGATTCACAAGTTTCATGATAGAATTCTGGTAAACGTTTTTATAGTTTGGAGGAAAAGAATGTGGAAAGGGTAGTTTCTATTTTTTGATGGTTCTATCACTTGAGAATTTAGGTGGTAATCAGAGCAAAATATGGAGAATGAGAAGGGTGTCTTTTCACACCTGAGAATTTCAACCTTTTCAGATGTGATTATTGCTTCATGGAACCATGCATTATCATATTAGAATCCCAAACCTTTGTAATTGGTCAAACTTTTTTTTTTTAATTTCAAGTCATTGTTTAAACACTGTTGACAATAGATGTCTACTGTAATTGTAACATTGATAGGTAGCATCTTAAAACTGACTACATCAGCACGATCCTGCAAAACACATTTCTGTGGATAGAGATCTATTTTGGATTGTGCTTTATTCTATTTCTGAGCATCATTGTATGACCTTATTTTAAGCTCTGAAACTTAGATTTTTCCCAAAAATCTTTGTCATTCTTTGTTTAGAAGTTAACATAATAATTTAACATAAAAGATATGCCTCCTATGAAAGAGGACTTTTATATAATTTAGGTTCTTTTGAGAGAAATATAATCTTTTTGCTGTCAAAGCTACATTTCTTTCTTTCTTTTGTGACTTTACCAGGAAAAACAGTCAAGTAATTGTTGATTGGGTGACATAATTTTTAAAATCCTATCAGATGATGATTCCTTGTAATGGCAAGCCAGGTATCTTTTGAAACAACCATTTCACTTAGAAATTTTCTCTTCAGGTATCTTGGTGAAAGTGCTTAGAAACCAGTTACCATTCATGTTTAATTTAAAAGCCTATCAGTGCCAAATGGATTTTAATTTGGAAAAGTACTTAAAACCATGCACAGGAATGACCTCTGTTGTTCAGAGCTTTTTTTTTAAAAAATTGTATCGGTGATTTTTTTTTTTTTTTTTTTTTTTTTTTCATTTAAGTTTTCAGTTGTAGTAAAACTCAAGTTTTTTTCTTAGGTTTTATTCAACAAAGACCATGTCAGTACACATGACAGCAAAAAATGTCTCCTTTCAGTAATAAACAAAGGTAACTGACTTTATATGTGAAAAGGGAAAAATATATATAGTCTTACCAACTATAATATTGGTAATGTTACATTGAAAAACCAGAAGTTTCATTATGTTATTGAAAATTACATAATCATAATAAAATTACTACACTCTCCTCTGCTAAATAAAATTATCAACATGAAATTCTAAAACAAAAAAAGGAAAAAAAAGTAAGGTAAGTACAGCAATATATCACTAAAATAAGTTCAGCCAGGTAGGATTTGTGTACATGCTCACATTAGCATAAAGGAGCAATAGATTCAACTTCATTGTATACTATAGTTGGTATCCTCATCATAAATAATATTGTAATTAGTATTAAAAATCAATTGTTCATATGGTTCCCGCAGTTGACAGAGTGCATATTGCGTACAATGTATCTTGTCGACAAAAGCTCCCAATAGGAAAGCATTATGATTTGAGTGAAAGGTTACTGCTTATATAATTCCATTATACTGTTTACATTGCTTATTGCCTCAATGATTTATAAGAGGTAGGATGGCTAGTGGAAATTCCATGGATATGCAACAATTTTATCACATTCCATTTGTGTTCTAGACAAAGCATCTGCAATAATATAAGGTGGTCTTTGATGTCTCTGAATCCTTATAATTTTTAGTTTTACTTTTTTGCTTAGAATCAAACATGAATATTATTGATTTTTGATCAGTAATAAGAGTAAAGTGGCGTCCCTTTTTTAAATAATATTTCTACTTGCATGGGACATCCACTATAACATGCCTTTTTTGTTATTGAATGTTTTTGTTCACAGGTATTTAATATATTTGAAAAGAAAGCCATTGGTTTACTAGTTTGATTTAAGGAGATAGCAATAGTGTAATCAGATGCTTCTGTCTCTACCACAACAAGAATTGTTTCATTTTGTCTCAGTTTTCAGGCATAAAATACTTTTTTTTAATCATAAAGATAGCTGAAAATATAAGTACAAAATAAAAAAAAAAAAATACAAAGAGCTATTTCCACTACCTAAGAGTAGTAGAAATGTCTTAATTTGTATGAGAAAAGCAATCATCTCATTAATCGGTAACCCAATGGGAAGTTATAGCACAATGTAATGTATTCATATTTTTAGGAAAAGGAAGTTCTTTTAGTGACTTAGGTCTTTCAAGATCAGTTTTAATTTAACCATCAGAAATAATATTGTAAAATATGTACATTTTAAAAAGTTCTTTAATGCTACTTCAGTTTTCTTCAGATACGAATTTTTGATATTAAATGTTTTAAAGGCCTACATTTTAATAATCAGCTTTTGCATTTTTTTAAAAACTTTCATTTTCTTTCTGTTGTAAATTATTAGAAAACAAATATTAGTTGTATTAATCAGTAACTTCCATTTTGAGATTGATTTTTATAAATGTACCTATTTACTGAGTGCAGATAATAATTAGAATTTGAATAATTTTTGTCCTCTTTCAAACCATACAAGCTCTACTAAATTTTTGAGTTGAAAAATATGGAGAAAATTTATAATTTACTCTCATTTTAAACTGTTTGGTATTAAGCCTTTGAGCCCATGTTCCTGAACAATTTTAACCCTTCTACCTGAGCTCCTGAATCAAAATTTGCAGCTAATTGCTATGTAATGCTTCACAGTAGATATAAAAATAGTTACAAGTGTTTACCCACCACTCAACCGGTGACTGGGCATTAAGTCATTTTTCTCTACCACTGGTAAAGTGGTGGTCAGCGCGCAAAGGATTAAAATAAAATTTATTGAAAACTTCATGTTCACTAATTTACTCAAGTTTGTTGTTTCCATTCTATCTTTAAATAAATTATCCTATGCATAAATATCCATTCTTACAATCTAAATGGATGAACTTTTGTTGCAAGTAAATTGTAGAGTTTGGCAAATTCAAGAGTTTTATAAAATTTATTTATTTATTTTTAGGATGCCCAACAGGAGAGAGATGTTAAAAGGTCACTGCTTAATACAAGATTGGCTCCAAACATGGTATGTATCTAATTATAGTTCTTAACTATTCTAATTAGAAAATAATTTTTTTTTTTTAAGTGTTTCAGTTGTGAGGAGGTTGGAAAGTTTTAATATTTTTTTCTACCTGTAAATATCTGAAATCAAAAATTTCAAGCTCACTTACCCATTTTATCAATGTTTTCAGATAAGCGTTCTTATCTTTGTTTACATTAGTATTTTTCCCAGTGTACTTGGAGGTGATATAGCATATGGTATGATGAAATTTGTGATGACGTTCTCTGCTTGTCTGTCGTTCACTGCACCTGTGGTGACATCCAGTATCGGCTGTATTTGCATATGCACCCAACTTCACAATGCTCACAGATTTGTTCACTTGACTGTGATCGTATTCAACAAAAAATAATGGCAATTGACTATCTGGTTGGGAAATAGCAACAATACGAATTCTCACTTAGCCAGCTATCTTTCCTTTGGCTGAATTGCTCTCTCTTTAACTGCCACTGATCCCTTCATACCTGGCTGTTGGGAAGCTACTCACTCACTGGTCACCTACATACTTCTCTCACTGCTAGACCCCTTTCTCCTTGACTTCCTGCCTCTCTCTGCTTATATGGTCTTTCGAGTAAGACCTCCTCATAGAGGACAACATGACTAAGGACTGTGTGTATGCCATTCCGTGCAGCTGTGGTAAGAAATATAAAGGAGAAACAGGCTGCCCACTTCAGATTACAAGAACATCATAAAGCCGTAACATGAGGGGAAATAGAAAATTCAGGCGTAGCTGACCATATATGGAGAGAAAAGGGAGCTCATCGCCACCTGTGGGTTGAGATTGAAATAATAGACAGAGAACATCGCTGGAAAATATGAAAACTGTGGAATCAGCACATGCTAAGCCACAAAAATCTCCTAAGCCAGCCAAGCATAGAAATAAATACGATATTTGAACCAGTAATATGGATTACTAGAGAAAACAAATAACAAAATTACAGTATGAGCTCTGGTTAAAAAAAAAAAAAAAAAAAACGGTTTCTGACACATTGTTTTTAAGTGCCAAAAATTCATACATCATTATCCCAGTGGATAAAGGCATTGGTTGGATCCAGTGACTTGAGCCAAAGAGTTGTGGGTTCAATTCCTGGCTACGGTAGTCGTGAACGAAAAAAAAAAAAACTTGAAGAGTTAAAGGGAGATAACTCAGACATCCAGAAGAGGCATGGCACATAGAACTAAAGGGAATAAAGGGCTGATGTTCCAATCACCTGAAGAAGGCTGAAGTGTACAATTGTTAACCCGACAATAAAGATGAAGACAACAATCAAACAGTTTTTAACCAATGAAGTTAAATTTTAACAAGATCACCTTCGGAAAATTCTTGAAGTAATCTGACTAATTACAGTTTTCATTTTTTTGAGAAAAAAAATAAACTATCATATATTTGCACAATTTATTTTTTTAACTAATATTTAGTGATAATTATTTACCATCAACTATGCTATTAAAGTAATCTTCCTTTATAATTAGCTAACATGAACTTTTCATTGATAATTTCAAGCACAAATATATCCAGTGCCATTTTAAAAAATCATTGACATGTTAAAAATGTTGACTTCCTTTTTATTTTTATAAATTTTTTTTCATTAGGTATTTCATTGTTTCCAGCAAAGCGAGCAGTAAAACAACATTGGATTAAATCTTTTTACCAATAAATTCCTCAAAGAAACAAGAAATATCTAAAACAATGAACTCAAATGCTATTTGTTTTCTCTGAATTAACAAGCACTTTTTAAATTCTGTTTTGTACATTTTAAATTTGTATTTTATTTAATTGGGAATATAAATTTCCAATAAAGGAAGGAAGTTGCAGTCTGCAATTTTGAGGAAAATTATTAACATACCAAATATTTTTAGAAAAATTGAAATTCTTTGTGTATTTCTTAATTGTTAAAACAATGTTTCAGCACTCTTTAGGTGTATTCTGCAAGGAGAGTGTGGAAAAACACACTGTTTAAAGAACAAAAAATAAATGATGAAAAATGGTCATTAATGTAGCAACTAGACCAATCTATATCAACAGCATTAGCCTACACAAAAGCTCACTCCTCTCAGTTATCTGGACCTCATGACAGTGTATTTCTCCCTACAGATAGTTTAGCATTTTTATGGTCCTTGAATTTGACTATAAGAAGATTGCTGCTTTCTCACTTGTACACCTTTTCATTGGATATTATAAATGTAGACTTTAGTCAAACTTTTTTTTTCTTTTAAATACTGTCTTGATATTGTAATGTTGACAAATCCATTTGGATCTGTTCAGCTGTCCTTTTTACCAAAACCTTAATACATGATTATTTTATAATAAAGTTGATGAATAGTCATATTTATGACAATTACAAATTTGCATGTCTACAATATATTAATAAACATATAATTTTTTTTTTGGCAAAAATTACAAGCTGTGGTTTTGAATGAAAATGAGAATATATAGAATTAAACAAATTATCCTGAATATAAAAATATAATGTGTTGTGTTTGATTTTGTCATTAAAACCCCAAAATATTTGGCAATCTGATCTGAAACATTCATTTGGAGACTTTTTAATTTCCTAGGAAGAGTGATGTTTTTTTTTTTTTTTTGCTGTCTCTGAAGAAAGTATAAAATCTTTATGGAGTTTGATTTTGTTTTTTTTTCCTAAGCTGGCACTGCTGTTTAAAGGAAGAAAAACAAAACAAAAAAACCTTGTCATATACCAAGACCTAATATTTTATGTGATCATCTTTCAAATCTGCCTTTAATGGAATTTTTTTTTTTTTTATAAATCAAATGTGATTGAGTAATGCTTTTGAAAATAAATTGAACCAGTCAAAATGATATAATGAAAGTATTGGTTAAAAAGATCTTATGAATTTATGAGAATTTCCTTTGGATTGTGTCTCAGTTTTTATCACTATTACATTGCCTATTCTCTTATTAATAATCTGATCCTAGTAGATAATTTAATGTTGACAAAAATAATATTTAACTATTAAATGAAAGCTTTCTTGGATACATGTCTGAATAGTGACAATATTTCATTTTGGAACTTTACAGTAACACTATCAAAATCACATTAAATTATTTTTTTAATGAAATGTTTCAAAGTTTAAAAATAACCAGTGCATACTTTTTCTTTTCTTTTCAGATGAGTCGAAGTATGAGTGGTTATCCAATGCAAAGCTACAGTGAGCACCCATCTGCCAACCACATGATGTTATCCCAACAAGCTTCTTTCCATGGTCACAATGCAGCCGCTCTCTATAGCCAGCATAGTCAGCCGCAGCAGTTCATTGGACAACGTTTCTCTAATCCTTACCAAGCTTCCCATTATACTTCTATGGGCCCCGTAGCTCAAAGCTCTGCCAACCAGATGTCAGCTGCACAGATGTCACAGCTGTCAGCCGCCCAGATTTCTAGTATGACTACTAATCCCATGTATAGCTCACCAGCCTCATCTTCTGCTTCTTCTCATAATCCTCACACACATCCATACATGCGGCATAACTCAAGCTGCCAGAGTCCACAGCAGGTTGCTGACAACATTCTTCAAATGGCATCTGCCAATTATCCTAACAATCAAACTGTCCATATCCCCATCAATAAGAGTCGAACTGCCCCTTATCACATCCCACGCTCACCACAGTACAGCATGCAAACCTGTAATAGCCCTGTACAGCCTCAAATGAGACATAATACGGCTTCTCAGTATGGCTATCCAAGTACATCGCCACATCCCCCTGCAGCCCGTACCTCCCCCATTAGTCCCATGTTAATGCATAGTCCTGCAAGTCATCACAGCAACCAGTCAATGCCAAATTCCAGTCCTGTTTCTCTGCAGAGCCCAGCCCCAACTAATGTCAAATCCCCTGTTACTACGCCGTCCCCAATAACAAGTAGTCTTCGCTCTCCATGTGCTGTCCAATCGATGACCTCTCCTGTTGGTTGTGGCCAGCAAATCCGGTCTCCACCTCATTCGATTAACAGCTCATCAGGGATCCCACCATCTTCACTAAGCAGCAACAGTAGTAGCAGCAGCAGTAGCAGCTATGTCACATGTAACACCAGTATTAAATCTCCTGGGCCACAGCAACATCATTCAGCCCAACAGCAGCAGCAGCATCATCAACTTCATCATCAGCAGCCAACCCCTCCGCAGCAACACCACCACCACCACCATCACCACCACCATCATCATCAGCAGCAGCAACAGCAACAACAACAGCAGCAGCAGGGTCCCCCATCCCAAAATCGTTACTCTCCTCATCCTATAGGTTCTCCTCCCAGCCATGCTGGCTCTCCATATACACCTTTGTCCAAAACCCACATTAATAGTCCACCTCAAAGCCAAAATTTCCAGCACACTCCCTCATCAATGAGCCCATATGTTAGTGATGCATCCCAGGACTCAACTTGTGGTCAGTCTGCTGTATCTCAGCTTGGGGTCAAGAATCCTTTACAATCATTGGAAAAACTTGTATTGCTTCCAGAGACCCAAGTAATCGACCCCAAAAGTGTAGTCAACGATGCCTGCCTGCCCTCACCTTCTCACAATACTGAAGGTCATAAAAACTGTGATATTCCGAGTGATCATCGAACCTCCAGTGGCTGCACTTCGAATTCCTCTTCATGCAGTCATGGTAGCAATCCCATTTGTGGCAGCTCCAGCTGCACTGATGGGAAACACTGTGATAATGGCAACTCTAATCCCGGCAACCCTTCAAGCAATACAGCTGCTTGTGGTAGTTCTGGGACTGACAAAACAGACTGTGCATTTCAGATCTCCCCTCCTCCTTCTTCACTGCCTCCCACCTCTGCTGTTTCTTTGACCCCACTACCTCTGTCTGTTATACCTCTAGAAGAGAGTGAAGCAATAACATCATTAACTAAGCAAGAAGATGTGCTTACACTGAAGAACTCATATCAGTCAAGAGAGCAAACAATGAAATGGGAGTCCAATTTAGTTCATGATGTTGGCATGGATGTCAGGAGCCATGAGGATTCCTCTGTGGATATGAAAATGCCAGATGAATTACAACTCAATAAGGTTACATTTGACACAAAACTAGACATTGCTGCTGCTGCTACTGCTAACGAGATAAAGCAAGAGATGGTTTCTTTTGAAAGCAATAAGCATGAATTATTAGACTCTGAAGGTAACAGTAATGCTCATGTAAAGTCCAGTGGGTATTCAGAACTAGAAGAACCATCAACTGATGTGTCTACATGTTTCCCATCTGAATTGTCCTCTCTGAATCAAAGTCTTGCATCATCTACATGTGCTGTCACTTCTCCTTCTCTTTCAGCAGCTAGAGAGATAACTGCTGCTGACTCTCCTCACACACCACCTGCACCAACCCAGTCCCCAGGGCCCTCACCCATTGTCAATTCAACTGCTCTTCTTCCTATCGCTCTTCCTCCTCCATCATCATCATCGTCACCATCATCATCATCGTCATCATCATCATCATCAACTCCACCACCACTACCATCAACCTGTAAAATAGAAGTGACTGTTGAACCAGAGGGACAGTTAGGAGGTTCAAATCTTTTGGCTAAAGAAGAGCCATGTTCTGCTGCAAATTCCCTTGTAAATGGAGAGATGGATATGTATAGTGGATGCAATCTTACTAAAATTAAAGAAGAAGCTCCATCACCAGAAACAAAATGTGCAGATGGCATATCTTGTTCTCCAAAAGAGGCTGACAATCAACAGCATTCAGAAACCACTGCTGACAACCAAGTAGAAATGATGAGTACTCAACTGAATGATGATAATAATAATGACAGTGATAATAGTAGTGGTGGAGATAAATTATCTCGGAATATTTCAGGATCTTCCAAGAATGGAGAGAACTTGCCTTTAGCAACACGTCGTAGTCCCAGAAAAAAAACTAATTTAGCTGCAAATAATGTTACAGAACTTCCGTTGGCCTGTGCAGCTCCAGTTGCATGCAGCAGTAGTGATATGCACCCTGCAAGCAGCACCAGTACCACCACAACCACTACCACCACAACAGAGAGTAGTTCATCTTCTAATCCGTTGGTGATAGTCACCTCAACTGCTAGAACGTCAACTGTAGTAACTATAGCAAGTAGCATTAGTACAACTGCAGCCTCATTTGTAAAATCCCAGAGTGTACAGACAAGTAGCACTCAAACAAATTTGAGCAAAGTGAAAAGATCGAAACGAATCCAGAACAATCAAAGTGTGAAGATGAGTTCACAAACTACAACTGATGAACTGGACTGTGAAGCAAGTTCCAGACTACGTGTACGCAAAGATTCAGGTAATACATACACTCGTCAAATGCGAAATTCTTTATTACGGTCAAATACAGCATCACAAAGCAAAGTTTACACTGGTGGAGGGTCAGAGACAACTGGAGGTGGAGAGTCAAACATCCAAGCTGAAAATGTGGATTCAATTGTTGAAGAATTGGATGCTCAATCAGAGAAGCACAATTCTTCAGTCTTGTCAGATGTTTCTGAAGAATTGAAACGGGAGGAGGAAGCTATTATAGATTCCAGCAGAATGAATTTGGCAGATGCCAAACATCAGGTCCAAGAGGAGAGCAGTATGTCTAATAGTGTCAAGTCTACTGTGAAGAAAGAAGATACAAATCTGAGTTGTAAGCCAAAGAGAAGAGGTAGTACAAGGATTTCACAACAGATCAAAGTTTCATCAGAAACTAATTCACCCTTATGCATGAGTGATGAGAACAAAAGTTGCTATGAAAGGACCAAATATAATATTCTCCCTCCTGAATCTGAATGCACAGAAAATTTCACAAGTGTCAAGAAAGAAGTCTATAATGAAGACATTTCAGACCAAGATATCAACTCTATCAAGCAAGATAAGGTTACTGCTGAAGAGGAGGATACTGAGGAGAATGGTCCTATATCAGATACTCTGATGAAGAAACAACGGAAACGTCGCTGTTCTGTTGATTGTGACCCTAATATTGATATGAATTCCTCTACAGCTGAATTAATTTCATGTGAGGAAACTGAACTTTGTTCTAAGAGGAAAAAAACAGTTCAAACAGAGATTTCTCCCACTGGAAACCCTGATCTACATGTTGACTCTCTTTCCAAGCCATCAGTTGAAATTCTTGAAATTGACTTGACAGAGGAAGCTCATTCCATCAAACAAGAACTTCCCAGTAATATGGAGAATGCTTCTGATATTAGTGATGATGAAACTTCCAACAACAAAGCCCATAATCTCTGCTCAGATGTTTCCCATTCGACTAATATGGAATTTAAAGAGGACTTTACACCTTCTGAAGCAAATGAAACTGACAGCACCATGACTCCTGATAAGAAGAGTAACATGACTGCTAGTAGTAAGAAGAGAAGGAAGGGTAGACCTCCAAGTAAAGGGCCTATCCGTGGCCGTAAGCTGGGTAGAAGCAAGTCAGACAGCTATGATAACTTTCAGCCAGATAGTGAATCATTTAAGTCCTTGAAACTGAAGAAGACAATGGATCTAATGTCAAGTAATAAGAAGAAGAAGAGTGAAATGGGTTCAGTAACATCTGGGCCATTCATTCGGATGACAACAATAAAAAATGAACCAGCCACGTGCCTCATTGTCAATCAACCTCAAGAAGAATGTGATCCAAAACAGAACAAAAAGTCCAAAAGCAAGGGTCCACCAACATCTGCATCCTCAGTTCAGATTTCCAATTTGCCATCTGAGAAATCAGTTTTGGTTCCTCGGACAACATTGATAGGTGATGTCTGGGTATGTGCATTATGTGGAAAGGGTAGCACTTACAAATTTCTTGGAGACCTGTTTGGCCCTTATTATCCTGATGGTTTCCATCCCACAGTGAAAACAGAGAAACCCGAAAAACTGCAGGTGCCTCCTCCTTTGGCTCCCCCTCCCCTGCCAAGCCCCCTCTGCCAGCCAGCCAACCTATCTACTCCTTCAACATTAACACCTCCTCTGCCTCCACCTCCCAACCAAGAAGACTTGTCCAAAGTGGAAAGCAAACACAAAAGAAAGAGGACTTGTTCTTTTGCAGAACAAACTAGTAGTGCTGACAGACCACGGCTGCGTAAGTCGTCTACAGAAGAACGAGCTTCTAATAGTGACTTTGACTGTGAACAGTTGACTTCTCCATCTGATGTATCAGAAGTTTGGGTCCATGAAGATTGTGTTGTGTGGTCAGATGGTGTATATTTAATTGGAAATAAGCTATATGGCCTCGAAGAGGCAGCTACAGTTGCCTCATCTACAGTAAGTGCATTTATTATTTATTTTACAAAATAGTTATTTATCTACTTATGCCTTCTCTTTTTAAAAAAGGCCTTGTGTAAATAGTACATTTTTGTGTATTTAAATTAGCTTCAATTCACAATTATACTGTTTATATTTCTTTAAGTACTTTAATTCTAATTATTTCATTTGATGAACCAGGTTGAAAAGTTGACTACTTTATCTTCTCAAAGAGACAGTAGTCCAATGGAGAGAATTGCATACACAGATCATTAATGTTGAAAGTAGTACTTAGTTTTCTTCACTCCAGATTTCACTAAATAAATCATTGCCTCAATTTTAGTAACACAAAAATAGTATTGTGATGATAATATACTGTCCTATTCCGTACTAATAGGAATATATACCTGAACAATACGGTGGATAAATAAGTAAAGGTTTATTGTAAAACCAGTACAATAAGAAATAAGGTAACAGTTATGTGCACGATTGTTACAAGTTAATCCAGTAGTAAGTGCTGCTATTGGAAGGTTGGTAGTTCTCGCCTAAGTCTGAGTTGTACTCAACAGATCCCAGCTAGACTCCTGTAGTCCATTGCCTTATGGATAGGTAGTTACTCATGGGGGTGACAGCTTATTCCATTACATCATATACATTAGTAAAGTTAGAATTTTTTTATGTAAAATGATAATTAGAATTAAATGTAATACTGTATTAGTATATTGCATTTTTGCTTTTCTTAGTAAATTGATACTAATCTTTGAATTGGCATCCTTGGATTAATTAGAACCATTTAAAAGAACATGATTATATGTATGCATATATCAATCTAGTTTAGAATATTCTTATTTTAATATTAATTAGGTGAAAAACAAAAATGTGTTTACAGACCTATAAAAATTACAGACATGTTAGAAATCAGGAATGAAGAAAGTCCAATAATGGCTGGCCTATTTAGCCTTGTTTCTTTTATCGTTGCAGTTCTATGGCTAAATTACAAGTGAGAAAAACTTCTTCTGTTAACTGATTCAAAAGAGGATGCCAGTTAAAAAAAACAAAAAAACTTTCCAGATAATTAGACTAAAGGTTATGTAATAATTTAAATTATTATTAAGTAAAGATTTCAGAAATGCCATTAATTTTGTAGATGATCTGCAGAAAGACAAGAATCTAAATTTCAACATACCTAATCTGATTGTTGCACTGGAATTCTAAAAGATTGCTGCCTTTTTATATTGACAGATCTATTTCAATATGAACAAAAAGGGTTTTACACTTACATATCCATAAATTTGGTCTTGATGAAAAGTAGAACAAATAATGTGTAAATACTTTGATTTTTCAGAGTAGTTTGGAAATTTATTTAAATTTGGGTACAAGGAGAAATTTATTTTATGTAGATTTTTTTTTTATTTCAAAATGTTCTTTATCAGTTTAATCATTTAATTTCACACTTTATGGTAGATTTTATTTGAATGTAAATTGGTATGATGGGCTTTGTTTGTTCTAGCAGATGTGGTGTTTGGTATATATGAAGCAAAAATCAAATAAAACACCACCACAATAGATTTTCTCATTTTAGTGAACAAAAACTATTTTTAAACCCAACTCAGACACCTAAAATGGAGCTTGTAAGAAATGGTTAACAAGAATTTCTTTACATTTTCTAGTAGAATTTGCTGGAGTCTGCCTACTTATTAAAAATCTAAAAAAATTATAACTTTCTCCATAAGGCATTTAAATAAAACTTTTGTGTTTTTAAGTGAGGGGTTTCTACAACTATGTTATTTCATTTTATGATGCTTGACAGATTAGCTAATGTTATCATAATAACCAATTAGGTGTTTCTGGTTTCATCTAAAATATGTATTTTCTCAATTAGTTTGAAAAAATTAGCATATTTATATAATGGAGTTAAGATAAAAATGTATTTGCTAATAGTTTTTGATGGATTAAAAAAAAAACCATCATATCCTAGTTGAAGTGGGACATCAAAAAATAGTCCTGCATATCGAAAACCAGAGAAATAGCAAATATTTTTTATAAGATTTTGTATTCACTGTTAGACTTTCTTGACATGTTTTTGCTAGTAATCCAGCATCATCAGAAGAACAATTTTATCTGAACAAAAACAAAATGTGTTTTCTGTTAAGCATTTAAAATTTTTAAATTTGATTTCATCATATGTACATTTTGATTTGTTAGATAAAATTTTTCTGATATTGGATTTCTGGCAAAATATTTCAAGCTAAAATTTTACCAAATATATTTTCCATAAAGTGAAAAAAAGACTTGAAACAACAGAAATGTTGTTCTACAGAAAGATGCTGAGAATACCATGAGCTGAACATGCAAGCAACAACAAAGTTCTGAGGAAAATGGAAGTAAAAGGACACTAAGAATCAGAAAAAAGAGACAGTTGAAATTCCTAGGGTATATAATTCTAACACTTTGCCCCAGCCCTTTCAACCTCCGAGGTCTTACTCTCTGGGTTGAGGTGTATACTCAGTCCTAACCAAACTTAAGGGAGTGGCCGTAGGTCCCCTGAGCATCCGTAGATTATTCGACCAGTCCACTGGTTTAATCCTGCTTTCTGCCCACGCTGTGTTTGTTTTGATCCAGAAAGCAGAAGTGATGTTCATCCATTCATGATTGACTAAAGATGTAGACATGGCTGGAGAGTCTATGCTAAGAAATTTAGAATGCAGCAAAAAAAAAATTAGTATCTGCAGAAAACTGGACAAACAACTATTCAATGATTGAATTGTTAATATCTTTTATATAGCAGAAAAGAATAGTATAGAAAAGAAACTGGTTACAGAAAAGAAAAGTAATTGATGTAAAAACGCATACACTGGATTCTGGACAGAGAGAGAGAGTGTTATGATTAACTTGTTGTTAAATCGCACACGATTATCACTGGGTTCTAGCTGCTTCAACCAAAATCATGTGAATTCAAAAGTTCCTTCTAGCTTACTCAGCTCTATTTCAATTTTTAATCGATAAAAGTTATTTCGACCATTTCCATTGTCTCTTGATGACCCAGATTCAATGAGTACAACTTCTGCTGGATCAAATTTCCACATCAGTAAACAAAATGCTCTGATTTAATTTCGCTATCCAAATCTTCTACAATTTCACTAAAAAAAAAAATATACATGTGCGTGTGTTTCCCAGACTCTGTTACATTTCCTCCCCTACCCATCTGTCATTTACTAGTAAATGACACACGAGCTTTCATATCAACAAAATATGAGAAAACCCAGTCCAACATGCTTCTTACTAGGGGGCTACTTAAACATACATCTCTTCCAGCATGCAAAGGTAGAGTCCTCAGTTCTTCTTAGGGCTCATTATGCCCATTTACATTTTCATTGTCCTTACGATACATATATGTGCAACTCCGGTTAAAGTTCACTTCACACGGTGATCTCATGCAATAGAACCTTTTCATTGTTCACTAGTTTGAGGGTTCTTTCCTTTTTTTTTTTTTTTTTTTTCTTTTGAAGTTCGCAAAACTCCTTACCAATTATTTCAGTCTCATTACTAAAAATAAAAAAAACTTCGATTTACTTCATAAATCTGTCCTTCCGTCTTCACAACAGGCTTTCTCAAATCTTTTGTTGGTTCAGGTCCTTCCGCGACAATCGTGGACTCTTCTTCAATATCAGTTAGGGGCCCCAATGCACTCAGGTCGGACCTACCTTGGTAAAGTGCACTAACTGGAATCCCTCCTTCACTCATGTACTCCTGTGCCAGTTTATTCTGCCTGGTCGACAACACCGCACGCCTCTTCAACCATCACTAAACTAGTAAGGCCCAATTCTCTCTCCAGCCCGAATTCAGCATACCTATCTTACCTAACTCCGACTTCAACCGTCCAAAATCAATCTTATCAATTGGCTGGCATCTTTTTTAGTAACATCTTCGGAATCTCTCTTACAATGGATTCCCACAATCCCGTCCATCCACTGGCATTCGTTCCTACCAGCTCTAACAAAGCCTCATTCTCTTCAAACTTCTCTTCTGCTTGGTAGTAGGAGGGTAAAGAGATAGATGGACCATGAGCTCCACAACCAATGAGTAGCTCTACAAAAAACAAAGGGGGAATAACTCTTATCATAGTTCACACACCTTAGATAATTTGATCTCTTCTTGGGTGGCCACCACCCAAATTCTGTCAGAGCCACAGGTTGCTTTAGGTAACATTACACTAGCCAACACCTGTACCTGACAATGATCTCTAATTCCCTTCTTATTTTTCTTAAATAGATCTAGTACACAAGATTGTGACTACCTTACAGACCTACAGGTACATAATGCATCATTCTTGCATTTTTCTGCTTCTCCCTTTGTTAATAGCATAAACTCTGTCCTGGCTAGGTTTAGGGCAACAAATTCCATCTCTGCCTGATCTCCTATCTTCAGCTTTACTTTTGGATAGGGAAGGGGAAGATTCATCACCTGGTAAATTTCAAAGGTACTATCTCTGTCCAGTACTGGAACCGACACTAACAGTAGCAATTTGTCATCTACCAACAAGGTAGTACATCCCAAGGTACTATAATACCTCCATATCTGCTGAGTGTGGTCTAGAGGTAACCTAAGGTGATGGGGTAGTTTGGCTTGTATCTCCAGTAGTACTTCCCTTAATCATTCTGATGTTATTATACTCGGAGACAGGTGTACCAGCGAAAGCATGTCTAATTGTGCCCTCACATGTTCCAACAACACTGTTAAAAAATGACTTGTTTGACGTACCTTACTCATTATAGCTAACAACTGAAAATACCTTTGCAAAAACCCTTCTAATTGCTGTAATTCGGTTGTTATAGACGTGGTTACATTTATCACTTCTTTTCTAAAAACCTGTAGGTGAGAAATCAACCAATTGATACTCCCTCTATTCTTAGCTTGGTAACATTGAGTATGGATACGCTCTCTCCATTTGACTGAGCCATAGCTTGTTGCCTCTGCTCTGCCACTTTTAATTTCCTCTTAATTACTCTCACTTCGTCTTTGGAGACTGTACCAAACAACACACTTAATGCCTTTCCCATTATAAGTAATACTGCCCTCTTTTGCCTGGTCCATAACAACATTATTCATTTCCAATAATAACTCATATTCTTCCATTGTCTCTCAAGGATTAGGGATTCCTGAGCTAAGAGGTATAATATACGATGGTATTCCAGAGTCTGTAAATAGTCTCTGGCGACTTGTGTCCTGGCTGTATCTAGTTTGTCCACTTCGGCCTTCAACTAACCCAGTAACTTCTCATACAGCTGCAGGTCTATCACGAAAGTTATCAACCACTTTGATCTATTTATAATCACTTCACTAGCCTTCTTAAATGGAGTATTCTCACTGTATTCACAGGTATTAGCTACCACAATTAGCATCGTCAGTACCACGAGCCTCCTCTCGTCCATGTCTGCAAAGAGATGGAGAGAATAATTCGTCTTAGTCAATCATTCTCTTATTGTTTTTAGCAGGTGGTGACATCTTAGAGTGATACCTCAAGTACCAACCCACACCACCAGTGTCATGCATGCATGGGGGCCATCCACTCAGTTCACCAGCACTGATGATAAATGCACAGTTAGTCCCAGACCGTAACTCATTCACCACAGCCACTGTACTGATTTCACTTAATCCTTGGGCTCGGGCTGCACTGCTTCCGTCAATCGCCGTTTTAGTGGCAATTCCTCATTAACACTAGGTGCTTTTTTAGCCCGCAATTTACTTTGCAATTGAGCTAATGGAATTTCATCCTCTTCTTCCCATTCACTCAGTTCTTCTTCTTCCCTAAGGTTAGGCTCAATCCCTGCTTCCTCAGAATGTCCCACTGGGGTCCAGTTACCTCCCTCAGCCTTCAAAAGTGTAGTTGGGCTAATTTCAATCTCCTCACTCCCTTCACTTTCTCTCAGTCTCTAATCCTTCAGGTTCTACCAATGTAGATTTCCTCAGCCTTTTCTGTTGAGTTTTGTTTTCGGTTCCTTTCCATTCTCCTATTTCAGCTAGCTTTATATCATGAATGTACTCTCTTTACCTGTCTGGTCAATTGGTCCCAGATCATAAAGGAAACCGGACCCATCTGCTCCATGATCCTATAGTATGGACTCCATCTCTGGTCCAATTTACCTTCTCTCATGTGTATTTTATAATACACTGGATCACCTATCAGGAAGGAAACTTCTCTATTTTATTTACCCTATCGTTTCGCTTTTTCTGCTAACCCGCATTCCTCCTCACCCTAATAAAATTTTTTGCTGTTGTTCTAATGAAACTATTTGATGATGATCCTCGTTGTAAATACTTCCTCCTAGGTGGAACAGATTGTCTATAGGTAAGACTACATCCCTGCTCATATATCAAGTAATAAGGGAAAATTTTTGTCGTCTCGTTCATCGAGAATCTCAATCGTAAAACGCTTCTAATTCTGAATAAAAAAAAATTTTCCTCTTTTTTTTTTTTAGCTAACACATCAGCTTAGGGGTCTTATGAAATCTCTTTAAAGCGTTACTTTTCATTTGATATAGAGATTGGTTATGAACTGTATGTTTTAATTCTCGGCAATTTCTCTCATAATCTGATTCACATTCTCAATCCATTATCGGAAATGTCAAATGTTCAGGGAATTACACCTAGGGAATATTTTGTTTCAGTATTATATCTGACACCATTCGTGCCCTTCTTATCCGGTATGGCAAATGCCTCAGGCCAATTTGTCAGCCAGTCGGGTCTTAACTATGTAAAAATTACCTCTATGTGTTTCTCCATAGAACTGGAAATATCATGCTTAAATTTTAAAAAATGGATAATTGAACATCCATTTGCCTAATTTGGGGCAACCCTATTATTTGACTCTGTACTTGGCATGTTACACATTTTTTTTTACAAAGTTCAAACATCATTAAACAATTTAGGCCAGTAGTAATTTCTCATTATTAATCCATCGTCTTATCAATTCCCAGGTCTCCTCTACTAATTTTCTTTTGTGGATTGGGGTCCTATATGGTCTTAACTTAATAGGTGGGTGAAACCTGTGTCTGTCTTCATTTCAACTGTCTCCGTCTCTCCCAGTTGCTCATCAGTAAAGGCTATAACCCCCCCCGATTACCGTTCAGCAAATTATTTTTATAATGCTCGACTGTTATATCTTCATCCTTACCTTATTTCATTAATAACCTGTCTTATTCCAGGCCTTATTCTCATTCGCCTCTCACCTGTTTGAGTTCTCTCACTGGGCATGTACAAAGGTCACAAGTTTTTTTATTTTAATAGTTTTATTGGTCCATTGGTTAACAGTAAGGAACGGGGTCCCCAACCTCTTCACCAATCTAATCAATGGGTTATTTCCCTTCACTATTATTTACCTATGGTAGGGACCACTTGGTACAGGTCACTGTTCAGCACTCTATTATAATCTTGCCCCTTCCCAGATACAGTAGTGTGGGGTTATGATGGCTTTATATCTGTCTGGGCCACCATTGGCAATTGTTCAAATTAATTTCTCAACTAGTTTCCTGTACATGATGTTAACCAATGTTAGTTTAATTTTAAGGTTGAAATGGATCTCAGCCATTCTGCCTAAGCCAGTCACCCCCAAAATTAGGCTCACCACACTTGTCAAATGCCACACATAAACCTTAAGTTTTACCTCTGGTTCTGCCAACTGGAAAGAAGTCCAATGGTAAGGTACTCTCTATTAGGAATCCTGCTTACTATCAGCCTGACCGCTAAAGATTGGCCGGGGTTTATGTCAATCTGTTTTTCAGTCAACTGAACTAAAAATTGAGCTAACCAGTAACACTGAACTCCAGTATCAACAAGCCTTCACCTTCTTGTCTCCCAGCAACACATTACAGGTGAAATCTGGCCCTTACTTCAGCAAAATGTATACCTTTGCCTTTCTCCTTCCTGGCAATCATGTTCTCTCCCTTCCTTCCACTGTTCTTCGACAACCAAGGCGTGGGGAGTTGGTCAGAATGGGAGTTCAACTTTTTCTCGGTGCTCCAATTTGTGCCTAGGGGCCATCCTGGGTGGTGTATATTTGAGACGACCCTCTTTTTCTTAACTAGAACCCATTCTTCCCTCCATTCGGGGGTTAGGGTTATTCCGTTTGGTGTGGTCCATCTTTTCCCTGCGAGGACAGGTTTGTCTCAGGTGATCCGTTTCGATATCAAGCCAACACCTTCACTCCTTACAATTGGCCAAATGTTGCCTGACCACACCACACATGTCCAGCATCTCTTTGCCACCCTGCCTCTTACTTTTCATGGGTGATTGTTCACCGTTCCCCAGACCCTTTTCCTTCTCAGTCTGGGGGGACCAATGAGCCAAAGATTTTATCCCCAGTTAACGGTCTCCCTCTGCCGGAAACCCACTGAGCCTTGTCCCCAACGAACTCGCCTACTTTTGACATTTTGACCCCAAAGACCTTGGGTCACCTCCATATTTGTCGGACAGTCGCAGGCTGGAAATGACAGACCATGCTGACGGTTTCAACTTCAAGAACATTTTTTTTCAGGTTCCTGTCACTCTGCCTCGTCCACAAATATCAGCCAACAAGGCCTAAATAGGACCACTGTATGGAAGGTCGCCAATACAAAAAAAGCTAACCCTGAAAAGGGGACATATCCCAAAGGGTCATTAGTAAAATTCTTTATTCTGCAGGTAGGAATAATTCCTGAAAACAATGGTCGTCAAATATACATCTTGCCACACCACATCCGGACAAGCTCGGTCCACGTCAGGGTCGGGTTTTCTTTGTACCAAGGATGAACTTGGATCGTGTTGATACAAATGGTGTCCACCTTTAGAGCACCTTTCTTGTTGGGAGGCCATAGATCACCTGCTTCACTGGAATGGACTGAATCTTTTCTCTAGGGTCTGTCAGAGTTTCCTTTATAATACCTCCACTTCATGTGTGGCTATCGACTCCTGAAGCCTCTGATATTTTGGGGACTCAAACGTCCCCAAAGGTCATTTGTTGGCATCTGATCCTGCTACGCATATCCTAAGCGCCTTGTCAACTACCACTTTGGGACAAGAATCCTTGCCTTCACAGAATTTTTGGGAAAAAATACTTAAAACGATGGTGGTGCGCAAAGTCAAAACAAGATCAACAATTTTACTGGCAGATTTAATTCAATGATTGAAAAAAGGAAACCAAAAAGGACATTACCTGTAAGTTTTGGGTCCCATGTTTTGTTTCTTTTTTGAATTTTCTTTTTAAACTTCTTCTCTTTTTATTTATTTCCCTTTTAGACCAATATAGTCTTAAGACTAGAGTCCTTTCTAGCTGGTTATTTGGTCCCGTCAAACAAATGACAACCTTCTCTTCTCTTTTGAGCTGTGTTAAAATCTTGTTGGTCTATTTGGTCACCTCTGACAAGTCTAACACTTCAAATCCCCACCCTTTCCAACCTCAAACGTCTTACTCTCTGGGTTGAGGTGTCTACTCAGTCCCTAAAAACTTAACCAGTGGCCGTGTTTCCTTTGAGCCAAAAAAGATTATTTGACCAGTCCACTGGTTTTAATCCTGACTTTCTGCCCATGCTGTGTTTGTTTGATCCAGAAAAAAGAAGTGATGTTCATTCATTCATGATTGAAAAAAAGATCAATAATGAATAAGCTGGAGAGTCTATGCTAGAAATTTAGAATGCAGCAAAAAAAAAATTAATATCTGCAGAAAGATGGACAAACAACTATTTAATGATTGAATTGTTAATATTTTTATAAGCAGAAAAAGAATAGTATAGAAAAAAACCGGTTACAAAAAAAAAAAGTAATTGATGTAATAAAACACACTGGATTCTGGACAGGAGAGACAGTTATGATTAACTTGTTAAATCGTCTCAGAACGATATACATTTTTTTGCGATGGGGAATAAAATTTCTGAAAAATGGGTTAAAGTTTACGGTGGCGTTCCTCCTTAGCAGTAGTAACAGTAGTAGTAACTATTCGTGTAGTAGCAAGTTTTAGTACTTAAATCAACAGTAATTTGTTAGCGGATGCTTTGTTCCAATCTCTGACATCACTTGACTCTCAGCTTCTTGCCTCTCTTCAACAGCACTCTCCACTGTAATAGTCTCAACTCTTGCCGGACTAATTTCTGATTTTCTTTCTCGCCCCTCTGTGTTTTCAGCATAACTATGCATTTAAACCAACCAGGTTCTGCTGACCCTTAAAAAAAAAAAAAACTTCGCACATAATTATCACGGGGTTCTGGCTGCTTCAACCAAAATCATGTGAATTCCAAAGGTCCTTCTAGCTTACTCAGCTTTATTTCAATTTTTAATCGATAAAAATTATTTCGACCATTTCCATTGTCTCTTGATGACTCAGATTCAATGAATACGACTTCTGTCCTAGATCAAATTTCCACATCAGTAAACAAGATGCTCTGATTTAATTTCACTATCCAAATCTTCTACAATTTCACTAAAAATAAAATATACGTGTGTGTTTCCCAGACTCTCTCTGTCACATAATGAGGAAAGAGGTTTTGAAGAATTAAATATTCACTGGACATATTGAAGGCAAGAGAGACATAGGAAAGCAGTAAATAACCTACATAACAAACTTGTGTAAATGGTTGGCAGAACAGTGGTTAGGAAAGACAGCAAAAAAAAGAAATGTTACTCAGAGCTATAAAAGACAGAAATTTGTGGAGAACCATTATCTCCCATGTCCTGAAGGGACACAACACATAGAAAAAGACTTGAAGAAGAGTAGAAGTCAAAGGGTGTATAAAAGGAAGTGTGCAAAAAACAAAGAAAAGAAATGATCTCCATAGTTCTACAAATTTTAATAATTTTTGTTATTGAATAAAAGCAATCTTTGTTTTCTTTCAATTTGAAGGAGACTAGTTACAAATTTCTTGCAAACAAAATTCAATGAAAAATATCTTGTTTTTCTTTATTTACAACACAACAGAAATGAATTGCATTGTAAATACGTGATTCTCACGTAAGGTAATTACATACAGCCTTTCACACATAATAAAGCATTGTTTATGTATGCATGTAATTTTCCAGTAGTCATCAATGTTGTTACTCCTGCTGCATTGTTAACATATCTTCTCTCGTATGTTTTTATGTTGAATAATATAATTTAAAAATGAGAACATATTTGTGAGAAAGTACTCAGTAATTATATGAAAGGTTGAGTAATCAGTATTGCATACAAAATTCCTGGTCAAATGTTTATCAAAAAACTTAAAACTATTTTTTGTTAATTTACTTTGTAATATAAGAAAACAATGGGTCAAGGAAGCTAAAAGTTATATTAACTAAGCACAAGTTTATTTGTTAATAAATATATTTCCCAATTATTTAATATCTATTTTTAAGAAAGAAAATATTGTTAATCATTTTCTAGTATGAGCTGTCAAATTTTTGTAGCAGACAAGAAAGATATGGTCATCTGCTTTTTCAAAGCAAGAATGGCGTTTGCAATAACATTACTGATTGGTTAATAAATGCTAATGTGGAAATTTGAATTTGGGGCTTGTGTAAGACTATTTTTACACAAAAATGAGTCTATTTCTGCAAGATCCTTTTTTCACACACAATTGAGATTCTTGGTGATATTACTTAAATCTATTGAGATTGTCTG